TGATACTGCCTTTCTACAGGTCTTTCTAGCTTGGTCTAACCTTATCGAGCATTGTTCCCTGGCTCAACTGGCGAGAATAGATTCTGGATCCGAGTGGGTCTTATCACTCTCATCGTCACGCTGCTCTCCCCAGTTTGCTTTCTGACGCATATCACTAACACGACAATCACTAATGTTATCGGTCTCAGCTGCTTCCTCTATGCGGTAGTAGCTGGTGTTGCCTACACCTTCAGTGTAGACGAGCAAGTCGGGGAGCGGTACGTCGACATACCGTCAACTACCACCGTTTGGTCGATTCTGTCGGTTTTCCCAATATTCATTTACGGCTACTCGTGTCAATTTGTCATGCCCATGATCGCAGAAGACATGGTCGATCGAAGCATGAGGAAGTTAGATCTCGCCGCTCTGCTTGCGATTGCTACCGTAATGGTCGTCTACCTTTCGGTCATGGTCGGTCCCTATTACGCTTTCGGCGATGCTATCGAATCGAATTTCTATCTCAACTTGCCGGTCTCTAACGTCGCCATCCACATCGGGTACATTGCTTTGCCGTTTGCCGTGCTAACTGCATTCCCATTGCTCCTGTTCCCAGCCAGACAATCAATCTCGGGTGTCATAACCTATTTTCGCCCCAGCTTACAAGACACTCTTAAATTGCACATCGGGACAACACTGCTTTTCCTCGCTATCTGCGTGGGTGTGGCAATCATCTTCGAGGATCTCGGTGTCACTATTCGGTTCATCGGCATCCTCGGTACCAACACCATTGGGTTCGTGATACCATGTTTCGTCTATCTCCATATTTGTTACAATCCGTTCCCGAGCTCCTCCGAGCAGCCCGTTAATGAAGAGGTGGGAGGAGGCTGTCCAGATGATGTTAAGGCTGATGAGCCAGAAGGGCAGGTCAACCTCCTCCAGAAGCTACGGAATCAAACCCTCGAGTGGCACGGGGCGTTGGCGCTCTTCATTGCCAGTATTATATTCTTCCCCTTGGGTCTTACTGGACTGTTGTACGATCTTACCACCAACTGACTGGCTAGATTGAAGCATATCCGTATGTAACACGACAACTTGTCCGTACACTCTGTCTCATGCAGATCAGATTCCATATCTTCGAATGGATTAACCTCTCTTGTTTGTAGTAATTGCCGAGTCAACGCCACTCTGTCATCGGTGTTCTTGGTTGTAGCATACACCAATCACGTGTCCCTTATTGTCCGGTCACACATTTTCTTATTATCATCGTGAATGTCGTCAGCGAATGATAAAGTTCATCTTTTCGGCGGATAAAACTACCCTCGTAATTCCCTTGTTGTACAGCTTATGCTGTGATTGTCAAGAATTGCTCGGAGTCGAGTTCGTACGCAGGCGAGGGATCGTTACCGTAGGGGAAAGCATCTCAAGCCTCTGCTTCCTACGAGTCCGCTGACAAGTCTTAGGTTAATTGGTCTCTTCTCATTCAGTATAGACCCAGGATTTTACAGCTGAGCGATCTAATGCAAACTCCAACAACGC